GGCACAAACAGAGAATCCAGCACGTTCACAGAAATAGCCTTTCCCCTAGACTTCCCCATGGAGACCGAAGTAGCCTTCTCATCCTGATGAATATGTTGTCTCCTTTTACCTTCTCCCTTCTATTTTTATCTTTTTGGATAACCCTGGTTATGAACCCACACCGTGGTCTGGTGAACACCTCTGCACACGTGTTTTCAGGCCTCATCCCTTCCTCCCTTTGGTGGTGACACCCAGGTCCCTCCTCAGTTTTGCTTTGCCTACAAGACAAATTAAGCTCCTGGGCCATAAGTTCTATCTAGAACACCCCACCATTTATTTAACCAACTTTGTGTATTTGTAGGCTTACATTTCATGTCATTCATCTTCTGGAATATTTTAATTAAAGACTGAGGAACAGTGATTATAACTGCTTCATATCGCATCTAGAGTATAAAAACATGAAAGCTACTCATACTTATTCAAAAATAATTTTCTATAATTTTATAATGTTCACTAGAGGTTCAGGGAATTTTATGATAGTATAGAGAATGTTCTGGATTTAGGAGTTTGGGATATAAAACCACTTTAACTTAAATTTTAGGCTGACACTTAAAAGATTTATTTGAATTTACAAAGCATTGTGGGGGGAAAAGATGTTTCACTTGGAGAAAAAAAGACCTGGGAATACCCTGAGGTATAAAGTCACATGTGGGATTTAGAGAACTGAAGGAAGACTACTGTGCTTTGGGATAGTGTGTAATGAGAAGAGTGTTGAGGAAAGAAGCAGAGAAAGTAGGTGAAGGCTTCTTTTGCCAGGAATCAGAGGAAATCTCAATGATCAGAACTTTCTGTAGGGGAGGTGATGGGTGTATAGGGGCTTAGGTTAATTGGGGTAGTAATCAGTATCATAAATGATAAAAAGTCTAAGCATTCAATTCAAAATTTACTTTATTAAATTCTAAATTTTAGCACTATTTGATATTTGTTTTTTTCTTTTTTCATTTTTCCTTTTTGTTTTTTTGTGTGTGTGTTTATTTTTGTTTTTATTATTTTGATATTTATTTTAACCTAAAGCTTTTTTTGTTGGCAATGGTTCTTAGAAGTGATGGATTTACAGTATTTAATGGGCAGCTTTTGGAAATTACGCTTTTATGAAAGTCAGCTTTAGAAATTACTGTGATCCATTGGCACCTGGAGGATACTTTGAAAAGTTGACTGCTCTTTTCTTCTTTATTACCTAACTGTAGTAAGTCATTTGCCTTTTGTTACCACTATTTTTTAACATAATACTTGTCGTATGTTGAAGCCCTACCTACAATGTGACTGTATTTGGAGACAGGGCATTTACAGAGGTGATTAAAGTTAACTGTGTGGCCATACTCCATAAAGGTTTCCCTATGTCGACAAAAATTAACAATCAAGAAGAAAGAAGGGAATTTTCTTTGAGCCAAATTGAGGATTATAATCCAGAAGAGAGACTCAGAAGCTCTGAGATC